AGCCAACTTTGCATTTAAATCACTGTGATATGTTTCCAGGAGCAGGATCCTTGAGATCCAGATCGCAAGGACAGAGGCACCTGGGAGCAGCAGCCAGAGGCAGAGCAGGCAACATAAACAGCTGCCAGGGGATCTGAGACTGCCTTGCAAGGCAGGAGGACCAAAGACTCAGGGGTGGAAGACAAGAGTCCACCAGGAGGTGTGGGAAAGTCTGTCCCCGTAGGGTGCTGGGTGGAAGTCACTCTGCAGGGGGACACCAACATTTATCTGGAACTGGCTCCGTTTTGCCGTCGTCCATCCCAATTTTCCATGTGATCACCGAGAATCCCTGACTGACCAGACGGAGTTGCCAGGTTGGACGACTCATCAACAGGCCCATTTCAAACACTGCTGGCCCCTTCTTGCACTCTCAAGAGACACCACCCTCATGGGAAGGCCATACTGCAATGTACCTCGGGTTAGGTGCGCAAACCCCACTGCTTCTTGTCGCTAAACACCTCAGCTCTGCAGGACCCGACCTGTCTTTTCCAGGGGGAGCGCTGGCGCTGTCCCAGAGAAGGAAATTGGCTTGGGGGGGCAAGCCCTCCCAGCCGCCCCAACAGAGACCATGCTCCCCCCACCCGGCCTGCTGTCCTTTGTCCAGACTCCTATTGCTCCCATGCTTCCCCCCCAGGCTGCTGACCCTTGCCCCCTCCCTGCCCCAGAGTCACACCCCCAACCTACCCCAGCCCTGAAGCTCCGGAGATACAGTGGGCAGCGTGGCCGTAGCCTCCCCCAGCCCCGGAGCTCCTGGGAGCCAGTGGGTGGCATGGCCCCAGCTTCGGTGCTCCAGCACTCGGTGTGGCCTCAGTCGGCACCAGGGCCTGGAGCTCCGGAGAGCTGGCCGGCAGGTATTGCACAGGGCTGAGCATGGACGGGGCCTGGTGAGGCAATTTGGGAAGGCGGTGCCTCCCCCTGCCTGGGATACCCACCGCCCATGTGGGTGAGCTGTTTCCTGCCGTCAGCAGCCAGTCAGATTCTCATGTGCCCAGGCAGAGTCTGATCAACGACAGAATCTACACTCAAATGCGACTGCCCACCCCCCAGCCTGGGGCGGAAGGTACAGGCAGGGGGATAGGGCAAGAGAGGGGGTTTCCCGCATCTCTGGCTGCTGCATCATCCACTCTAGCCACTGCAAGGCTATGTCTACACTGACGTGAGCTTGTGCCAGAAGTATGCAAATAAGGCTAAGCGTGGAATATTGCCGAGCCTCATTTGCATATTTAATGAGCCGCCATTTTGCGGAAGAGGATCTTGCGCTAGGAGCGTCTACATTGCCCCTTTTTGCACAAGAAAAACCCTCTTGCGCAATGCCGTTATTCCTGAAAATAATCAGCGTCGCGACATTGTGCAAGAGGGGTTTTTTAGCACAAGAAGGGGCAGTGTAGATGCTCCTTCTAGCGCAAGAGCCTCTTCTGCAAAAACGGCGGCTCTTTAGGTATGCAAATAAGGCTCGGCAATATTCCACGCTTAGCCTCATTTGCATACTTCTGGGGCAACAACCCACCGGTGAAGACATAGCCCAAGGCTGCAACTTACACTGGGGAATGCCCACAGCAAGCCTAGGAGCAAGAGAGTGGAAAGGCAGCTTAAGTCCCCTTAGCCGAGCCTTCTCCTGAGGCACACGACTAAGCAGAATCCCCGCTGTCCTGCCACAGCGCTTTGCTGTGTTGCATCTTGGCAAAGAGCCAGCCCTTGTCACCTTTACAAAGAATTCACTCCTGGCCTGTCCATTCCTCACACATGTCTCTGGTACTTCCTCCAGCAACTCAGAGGGACTGAGCTAGGGAAAAGCGCAGTCTGACCTTACTTGACTCGTCTTGTCTCCTCCGCAGCTGTAGTCAAGGTTCCCTGTAATAGGAGCGGTTTCCAACTGGAGGACAAGGATTTTTGCATAAGTGTAAGATGGAGGCAGGATGGACCCAGCACTTCACAACATGCCAGAGCACGGGAAATAAGGAGCCTTTTACAAACAAACAAACAAACAACAAAACATGCCCCATGTACTCCAGGATGAAATAACCAACCAATCAACCAACTCAGCAGTAAAGCTCCTTCTTTCCTGTTCTGTTCCAGACTCGGGCTTTGCTAATTCACTGTGTTTCTTTGAGATCAGCTGTATGTGTCCATGCTGCTCACATCTGCTGATGGAATAGTCAGTAATGGCCCTTTCCCCCTGCCTCTGACCACACGTACTACAGCCTCGATTGCCTTTCACTTATGGCCCAACACACCCGCCTCGCAATTCTCTAACCCCGCGTTTCTCAAAATGGTGGGTCCTGACCCCCGCGGGGGGTCGCGAGCAACTTAGAAGGGGGTCGCAGTATCACAAAGTTTGAGAACCCCAGCTCTAACCTATCTCTGCCTTCATTCCAGCCTCCGCTGCCTTCCAGCCTGTGACCACGTTCCCAAGCCAATCCCATCCCACTCACGACCACACACGCTGCCGCCCTGGCGGCCTTTCCTGTTTGGCCATATGTATCCCAGCCTCAACTTCCTTCCCGGGGCCTTTGCTCTCTATGACTACATGCACCCCAGCCATGGCTGCCTAACCACCGACAGTCGCATGCACAGCAGCCTCCTGCTCAGGGCTGGCTTTACCATGAGGCGAACTGAGGCAGCTGCCTCAGGTGCCAGACTGTGGGGAGGGGCGCCAGTAGGACCCAGAGTGTAGAAAATTGTCTGCTGCGGGTGCGTGTGTATTCTCTCTGCTCTAGATGCACAGAGATGGGGGAGTGCTGTGCTGGAGGAAGGACGGCACAGGAGACATAACAGGCAGGCAGGAGAAAAGGTGGCATGGGGACATCATTTGAGCTCCCCACCTCATGTGCCTAAATGTTGTGGGCTGGCCCTGGCTATTTCAGTGGGATATGTTCTCCTGCCATCATAGCGTCCATCTCTTGCGAAAGTGGAGTAATTATGCGGACAGGAGAGCACATTCCCATTGGCATACAGACTCTTCACCAGTGTAGACCTGTCCTTTGTATAGAACTCACTGCCAATGCGTTACAACAGTTAGTTACCAATTGAGAAAAGAGAGAGACAAATTATTATTTCTCCAACTCCGCTGTTACAACGGTTAGTTACCAATTGAAAAAAGAGATAGACAAATTATTATTTCTCCAACTCCGCTAAGCAGGCAGAGCCCTGCACCCTAAGTATGTCACGCCAAGCAAACAAACAAACAAACAAGGCCCTTATGGTGAAAACTCTCTAGCCTGCCTTTTCTCATTCTTTTGCCTGCTTGATATTCAAATGGCACACTGAATAAAAGCTAAGAAATTCGTGCAAAGAGCTCCTTAGCATTTGTCAGTGTGCATGTGGTGGCATTTGTTGTGCTGTTATAATGCTGGTGAAGACGGCTCTGAATATTTAGGCTGTGAATCATGCTTTGTTGCCATTTCCATATGTTTTCCCTAAACATGAAACACAGTTGAAGGGTGGGATTTTAAAGGACAAGGGAAATTGGGGCAAGCAATATACAAATGAGTCTATTATTATGTCTATAATTGGACTGTACTTTGGCATCTCCCTGTTGGCGAGGGAGGTGGTTCAAGGGTGTAGTTTGTTAATTAAGCAGAACAGCTAATTTTAGCACTGACAAACTAGCTCCAGTAATGTAACATTTACAGTTAACTACTTGGACAAAAGTCATTCTTGGTGAAGGTTTCCATCCTGAAATCAGGTGACAGCAATAATTATGATTAGTTACCATCAGCTGGAACAAAAATATTACACTGTGATAAAAACAAAGCAATCATCCGTAAGTATCAGCACCAGCTGTAACGATACGTATTCTGCATTTCAATGAGGTGCCCTGTGTGAATGTGCAATCTCACTACAGTATAAAAACAAACATCATTGCGCATTACATTTAGAATACAACATGCCTGTTTTGCCAGGGTGTCAAAACCACTACACAGTGGTGTGCGGTGGCTGATAGCAGAGATGCAGCACAAACGCCTCCTTTTTTGCTCCCCTCTTTTTCCCCTGCCCCCAAAAGTCACTGGATGTCACAACAGCTCTGAGGTCCGACTCAAAATTCATCTTCAGAGCTATCGGCTAAGAGCATTACTCGATCCTGCATGCTGTTAAATTCCCTCTGCTAAAGAAGAAAAAAAGAAACGTTACACAGATTCCGTTACATGGGCAAAAAGTTTGAATTCCTCCTTCACCTGCCCTTCCCCACTTTAATTAATATAATCTAAGTGCATCTTTTCCATTTCAACCCAAATACAAAGGTGCTCCATAATTTGCTTGTAGTCACTGACTGAACCAGACATAGGAATAGGAGGGTGGTCAGGAGAGCAGAGCTGGGTTTTCTTTACAGTGGCTGTACCTTTCTTTTATGCCTCTTGGAGCCGTTTCTCCTTCGGCGATTCATGATCTTAATGCTGTAGAGCGCTCCCAGGATAAACAGAGCTCCAGCTATACCGACCCCCACAGGAACCAGCATCCCAGACATGTATCCTGCCTACACAAAAAGGAGAGCATCACAGCCAGAGACAACCAGCGCAGGGTGGTTCCTTTCCCATTAACCTATGACTGCTGTGTATTTCTACACTGTATTATACAATATGTCCCAAAGCACAACAAAACACCCTTGAAAAAAGTGGGAAGGGATCATCGCTATTTATTACACCACCTCACTCTTGTATCAGTCCCCTCATCTGTAACTCTCCAAGGGTATGTCTACACCACAGCACTAATTCGAACTAACTTAATTTGAATTAGTTAATTCGAACTAAGCTAATTCGAACTAGTGCATCTAGACCTAAAAACTAGTTCAAACTAGCATTTTGCTAATTCGAACTAGCATGTCCACATTGAGTGGACCCTGAAGCGGGGTTAAGGATGGCCGGAAGCAGTGCCGGCAGGGCATCAGATTAGGACTTAGAGTGTGGAGCTGCTGTCTCAGGCTAGCCGAGGGCTGTGCATAAAGGGACCCAACCCCCACCCCGGACAGACAGTTCTCAGGGGTTCCCCGCTTGTCAAACTCGATGAGGGACAGCAAAGCAGTCCTGGTTTGGAGTGCCCTGAATGCCCACACTCGGCACATCACAGCACTCGGCCATCAGCCCGGCTGCACTTGCCGCAGGCTGCCATCCGGGAGGGGGCCAATCAGGGGGCTGCAGGAGAGCTTCCACCCCGAGGAGCCCACAGAGCCACCCCAGTCCTCCCCATCGGGGGCGCATACCCCATTCCTCCCTCACCTCCTTCCACTTACCTTTCCCTAGCCCCCTTCCTGATGTACAAAATAAAGATAACGTGTGTTAAAAAATAGAAACTCTCTTTATTGAACAAAACTCGGGGAGACTGGGAAAAGGAGGTGGGAGAGGGGAAGAGAGAGGGTGAGAGAGGGGAGGGCAACTAAAATGATCAGGGGTTGGGAACAGGTCCCATATGAAGAGAGGCTAAAGAGACTAGGACTTTTCAGCTTAGAAAAGAGGAGACTGAGGGGGGGATATGATAGAGGTCTATAAAAGCATGAGTGGTTTGGAGAGGGTGCATAAAGAAAAGTTCTTCATTAGTTCCCATAATATAAGGACTAAAGGACACCAAATGAAATGAATGGGTAGCAGGCTTCAAACTAATAACAGAAAGTTCTTCTTCACAAAGCAAATAATCAACCTGTGGAACTCCTTGCTGCAGGAG